TTTCCTAATTCTGACACCTTTCCTCCTCTATCTACACTCTTCCCCCACTGACACACTCACTGCCGTTAGAGTCAGGTTTTGGTCTTAATCTGAAAAACTTCTTTCCAGCCTGTCATCCCAAGTATGTTTTCTGATGAGCTAATGGAAATTTGTTATAGAGGACATTACTTCTTACGTCTTTCACAGTACTTTGGAGGAGGGTGTGTGAAGGACTACTGTCTAGCTAATGCATAAATGTGTACCAAAAACTAAACTGCCCTCTCTAAGCCCCCAACAACCCATAAAACAGGCAAACACAACAAATAGAGGAGGATGGCACAGAGCAAGAGGGGATGGGTGTGGTGCAAAAGTAGCAAGAAAGCTGTCACCACACACAATTTGGACTTCTTCATTTCATCCTTCCAGTATGTGGCTGGCTCACCAAAACAGTTAAATTTAGGGAAGCATTTTTTTGCTTCAGAAATGTGGAATACACTAGAGACACTGGAGTGACCAGAATGTACTAATTTTCAAAAAATGCATATATTTCCTAGTGAGATTGCCCTGAACACATGGTACAAGGCTACATGTAAGTTTAAAGATCACACATGGGTTTAGGGTACCATGTCACCAACTAGCATGGGAAAGCACAATGGCATTCCAATCACAGGAATACTCTTCGGAAGGGAACCCTGAAGGCCATCCAGTCCAAGGTCCACCTCAAATACAGCCCAACCCTAGACCAGTTGAACTGTCATTCTGTCCTTTTCTTTGGATAATGGCTGTATACTGTCTGAACACGAAGATGCATCCCCCTGTGCACCACTTACAGAATACACCATGACAGCATCGGCTTGAGAGGCAAGAGGTGAGCTGGAAGCACATTTCCTTCTGAATGTGTGAAATGTCTGACATATAAGAATTATAAGGAACTGCAGATCTGGGAGCACACTGCTGGGGCTAAAGACCACATGTTGTGTCCATGGTGCACTTTGAGCACACAGTGAAACACATTAGATCTATTAGAGAGAAGTACAGCTCATTAACATGCCTAATGTCATGCTGATTCAGCTCTGAATGGTCCAAATATGCTGTTGTGTTTTCTATAAAAGTATATACAGGTCTATGTACAGACCTGTCTGTCTTAAACAATGGCACATGGAGAGAGGTATCCCATCTAGGGCCTTAGCTGTATAGCCACAGAAGAAACACATGTTTGTCATTTCAGGTCTTTACTCTCTGGGATCATCCTTACTACCACCTTTGAGTTCTGGATAGAGGCAGGAAGTTGCCCTCCTCCTCACTGCAAAACTAAATCTTGTGTTGGTCATCTATCAGTTTCTTAGATCTATGGTTATATTAGGCCACTGCCTATTTTTTAACATTCATCTTTCAGTACTTCACCTTGTGATCAGTATGGCTGCATCAACTGACGACATGTCTTCTCCCCAGCTTGTTGACATTTCTAAGTGTATATCATTCTTCTTCCCAAATTCTTCATGTTGCCATTTACAAAAGCTTTCCAGCATTTTTTCTCCATGATGTCCAATATACATCTCTGCCTGGAAATAAAAACCAACTCATTTTATTAAAATGAAGATTCTCTAAATAGAACTAAGAACATTATTTGACTGAGTTAGCAAAAATATTCTCCTTTTTATGGCCTAATATATTCAAGGTAGAATGATTTGAACATGAAATGAGAATTCTCTACCTACTAGAGGACACTGAAGAAATAAATACGTTCTTATTAACTCAAAAAATACAATCCTTTAAAATCAGAAGCATGGACAAGAGAATCCTTTTTTCTTAAGAGCTAACTAAAGTATGGAAGGACCTCCACAACATTTTGCAGAAAAAAACACAAAAAATCAAGTTGACATTGACCTGAAATAGGACATACAAACCACAGGTTAATAGAAAGTCTCAATCAAGACATCAGCTGACTCATCTTCCTTCAGAAAGAAAGAACAGGATTTGAGATGATGCCTGAAAGGTTCAGGAATAGTGCTATATCACAGCACCTTTTGTTTGTCTAGAGCCTGGCTGATAAAGAACATCAGTTCTCCTTCTACTGTCCACTAGGGTTAAGGCACATGATTTCTGTATCGAGCTATATGAATGCACAAAAAACAGAACACAAGCAGATTTTTTTAAGAACTAACTGATTTTCGCAAGGAATTTTTGTTCAACTGATTTACGACTACAAGCACAGAACAATCTCAACATCATAGAAGAACAGAATCTAGAACAGTTTGGTTTAGAAGGGACCTTAAAGATCATCTAGTTCCAACCCCCCTTCTGTGGGCAGGGACATCTCCCACTAGACCAGGTTGCTCAATGCCCTGTCCAACCTGGACTTGAGCAGTTCCAGGAAGGGGGTATCCAGAACTTCTCTGGATAACCTGTTACAGTGTATCACCACCCTCACAGTAAAGAATATGTACAGTACATAAATTAGGAGACGTTTAGTCTTCACCATGGCTGCCCAGTAGTGAAGATAATTAAATAATGCACAAAGGCTAACTTAGAAGATTGTCAGCCAAGCTGGTGAGTACTGAAAGCCTTCACAGAGTAACAACCTAAGCAGCATTACCCTTTACAGGCTCTAGATGAAGATAAGATATACTTACTGGAGTTTCATGAAGGAGGACAAGCTTAGTCACCCGAAGATTTACTTGCAATCCAAGGCTCTTGTGCTGGAAAAGGTTAAAAACCTAAGATAAAAAACAGTAAACAAAAATACATTCTTGAATTGCACACGACACATTGAATACTAAAAATAGTAAAACCTCAAAGAATCTCAAAAATCTATCATATTCTTCTGTCACTGCTTTAATTTTCGGTAATTGGGACAGAACATTACGCTAATGTATGGTGGTGGTCTTCTGAAGGGAAAACAGAGCTTAGGCAGAATTTATTTTCCCCTCAATGGTCATGGCCATTTCTCCAAATACTCACAGATGCATATAATACTAGTCACATGAAAATTTCTATTCAGGCAAATCCAAGATTGTGGCCTGAACGGTTCTGGGTCAGGACATTGCAGTAACTCTTCCTATTTTTCAGGATAGTTACAGTTTTTATTTATTGTTCAGCTAATGCTACTTCTTCAGAACAATCTTTGCTTGTACATTACAGATGCTAGTTTCCACTGTTTTAAGCACCAAAATGAGTGCACTACAGTTACGCATAGAGCTGAAAATGGATATAAGTGTCTGAGTGCATTACCCTTTGGTTTTTCTCAGTCACCAATGATCGCACAATCCTTCTCAACATCATCTTTTCATAACAAATATAGATCATGAAAAATCACCCAATACCACAGACTTCCCAACAACATCGTGAGCTCCTAACCAAAACCACATCTTTTTAAGTTCTCACTTTCTGGCCTTCCTGAAGATATAATGCAGACGGTACAGAAAAGACTGCTACACCATGGTTTTATGCTGCAAAGCGTATAGAATAAGCCTTGACAGCCTGCTGATGGTCATGTACTGACTGTCCCTCACAGGTGCTAAGTCAGAATAATTAAAAGTAGCAATAAAATCAGCCTGCGGCACTTGCATTGCTGGCAAAATGTCAAAATTAATTTTGAATTTCCTACCATGTTTAAGATGGTCAGAATAAATCTTCTGGCAGCATCTGTTCCATGATATGAAACCATAGCTGGATCTGCAACCACCACAGTTTCTATATTGTACTCCTGAGGTAACTTGTAAGAATATCGCTTTTCTCTTCCACTTTCGGATACTTTTTGATTCTTGGATTTTCTTTTATCTGTAACATAAAACATTGCTTCACAAACTCATCCTTTAAAGTACCCTCACCCTACTTTTAGGGTTTGCTACCTGTGACTAGGACACAACTCTGATTATGTGAAATGTAGTAGCTATGAACTCTAATTCTTGCTTATTTAGCACTGCCAATGCTGATGTTCAGACAGAAGGCTTGTACTACATATAAATGTTAATTCACATCAAGAAGACACGAATCTCATCCAGCTGCTCAAATAAAGTCGGTCAGATTCTTTGCAGCCTTTCACCTGACATGTTTATAAAACAGTATGTGCCTTCTAGTTTGGTTTGTGGGAGAAAACTAAATTCATTATAGGTGTGACAGAAAAATAGTCTTATTGAGAATGCAGAATTGTTATCTGCCCATCTTCATAAATCACAGGAAAAGACCTTGAAGTCATTGCATCTTAGCACAAAATGTGTCAAACAGATTTGCAACAAATTCGGTACTAAGAAAACACATGGAACAAATCAGTGACTTGCAAATACAACAGAGATCACTGTATAGAACATAGGCTTGTTGGAAAGAAAAAGTGAAGTTTCACTAACATGACTTTAAAGTACCTGCTGCTGTCATTATAAGCAGCTAAATTAAAACAACAAAACCAAACCCTGGAAACCAGCTTCTCAATGTACAGAGAGTTCCAAACTGAAAACAAGTTATATTTATGTTAAGCTAGAGATTAGTGCTCCTGTTAATTTTAAGTTTCCCTTCCAAAAACACAACAAATTCCTCATTATTACCACAGTACATGTGGAAGCAGAAAAAATAATTATACAGAAACAGTTCAAATCAGAAGGTGGTCAGACATACATACAGCAGTTAGCAACGATATTTAAAACAATTTCACTTAAAACAAAATATAAAATGCAACTCCCTGTTGTTATAGCCAAATTCTGCTAGATCTTCTTGAGAGGACATAAAACTTCTGGGACTGATCTCATTGAAGTCACTGAAATCAAGCGAAATATTTTCCAGCTTCCACAATGGAACATTGGGCTCTCTGTTTACAACAAAAGTGATGCCTGAGATGACAATTATAAACACATGTTCTGGAAACAATCAAATATTCAGAAATTTTCAGGAAATGTTTTGCAATTAATCAGACTCATCTTTAATAGGAAAGTTCCTGCAGTTCATTTTATAACACATGACTGCTCTCCAAAAAATATGCTAAAAATATGCTAAAAATATGCCACTGAATTTGCAAATTAAAATATACCAGTGGAAGAAGGATCCATGATTTAATATAAATGTATGTGTAATACAGATTTAATGTAAATATAATATAGACATACATTTTTCAATGTAAAAAGTAGAAAGTATCCATGCTTCAAAAAGGTTACCTATCTTTCTGTAGTCTTTTGTTCAAAATTATATATGTAAGTGATTCAGCCCATTCTGCTACATTTTAGAAGGACTTACTTATTCCTGGACAACTTTATTAAAAAGAAAAAAAAAAAAAGCATATATCCTCCAGAAGTAAATATTTAGCGTTTGATTGTCTAGAAGTAGAAAAAACGTATAAATTCATTAGCTATCTAAAATTAATTGTAAACTCTCTCATTTTGATCCTTCAGACACTTGCTTAGCCTTAAATGCAGAGCTAGCCTCCAACTTGACTTGTGTTTGCTAACTACGAATCTACAGTCTAGTTTATAAAACATTATGTGTGTTTTCATCACTCTTTTGAGAATAATTTTTAATGAAACTTCAGTGTCTAGATCTGTGCCAAGAAAAACACACCCTATAAGCTGTATAACTATGACTTACCATACAAGCATCTAGTGCTGCAAGAGTAGGCTATAGATCTAAGTTTAAATAGTAAACTCATTTGGGTTAAAAAATATCTCTCATGAGCCATCTGGTCAATCTGCCTTACTCCTAGGAGCAGTGATTGATTCCAGCACAGTTTCCAGAAACACAGTTTATTCATTGTTCATTTCTTTGTAAAAAACAGCAGCTTGTGCTTGAACACTTTAATGTTAGCACGGCTGCTCAGAGAAGTCTGCTAACTCATCCCTCTAACAACTTTACCTAACGGTGCGTTTTTATTCAGAATTGACAGTAAGCAGCACACAATAAATTACAGCACTATGCTAAACACTAAGGTCACTGCGGTCCCAGAAACCATTCAGAACTCTGTCTCTAGGTATTATAGTGGATGAGAAGACCGCACCATTCTGTAGACATGCTGGCTGCAAGGGGCAGTACCCATCATTTGCCTCAGATATCTGCTGGGTTAACAAACCAAAGGACATTCTGTTCTTGGCCAGCCAACCTTTTCCAAATTGCTGGCACAATTCCCCATCACATGAGATCTCACTTATTTGAAAATTTTAGCTCTTCTCTAAGACCTTTAAATAAATGGAATTAGTAATTTTGGAGCCAGTGGTATTCAAACAACTGCTATGATTACTGTCAGGTTACAGGTAAAAACACTTGTTTCTTTACGTAGTCATAAATAAATAAAAATGAGAAATTGCTCATTACTAAAGATACGTTACGTAGGAAATAATAACTCCTGCAAAAAAACCACAACTACATCAATAATGTATGTGCCAACAAGACAAAAGTCAGACTAACTGGAAAAACCTGCTCCTTTGGAGTAAAAATGCATAAATCGGTCTCAAAAAACTAATTACATTGTTAAAATGAAAAAACAATGCCACAGGAGGGTTCTGTGCAATAAGACTTCCATGTTTCATGCAACTATAGAAAATATGAAGATTCTGTATGAATTTGTGACTTAAACTCTGTTGACTGAAAGGAAAGCTAGACATACTCCAATACTCCAACACTCCAGCATGAAGGCTAGAAATACAGTAGCAAGTACATTTGACATTCAACAGGCAATTAAGAGAAAATAACAAAGAAATGTTAACAAAATGTTAACAAAATGTTAACAAAACAATAAAAATCCTCCCAAAAAACCTAGAAGAGCTGAAAATCCAGCTACTTTAACCACAGGATGCATGAAGTATGTGAGCCAACACTAAGAACAGGCTATGACAACAGGACTCCTCAACACTTAAAAGTCATCAGGTGCAAGAGCATTCCCTGAGTACATCTACATGAGGCCCAAGCTACAGAGCAATCATCATCACTCTCCAGCTTTCTTTTCAATGGGTACCCTAGATGTATAGAAATAGTGGAACTATGACTAGGCAGGGAATATTCAGGAGCTTAAGAAACTACAAGCTATACCTCCATCATAGTTTGCGTCGGGATTTAAATGTCTTCATGCAGTGCATGTGTCCATGTAGTACAATCTCATAGAGTCATATATACAACCAAGATTGTTTATGCATTTTATTTCATGATTATCATATGGAAAAAGGCTGTAGAGCAAGCATCAATACAGCTCTCCCAATAGACTGCCGAGTTTACATCTGGTAAAGCCAAACTTCTGCTTTTGACCAAAAGAAACTATTAAGATTTTTTCTCCAAAATGGCATCATCCTACGAGGAGAAGCACAATCTGTTCATAACTCAGAACAGTATATTGTTTATTGCCAGAACTGAGGAGTAAAAGAGGAGGCTTCCAGTCTCCCAAAGACAGAAGGGATTCAACGTTCAGATCTAGGGTATCCTGGATAAGACCTCTCACTCACTAGGTTGCATGAAAAGGAATGAACATTTGAGAAGACAATTTTCCCCCCACACTCAAAGTAACCCCTGTCTTTACCATGAATTAGGTTCACTGTACAAGCAACTTCAGCCTGGACCAAGTGTTTCAGATTAAGTAGAAGGAAAAGAGCTTAGCTATCCAATGTGGCCTTTTTGCTAAGAGCAACTGCTTTTCTCACATTTCCTCTGAAACACACTTGCGAACTGGTTGCTTTGAAAAGTTTTGTGGGTCACGTGCTACATAAAGGTGTGGAGTGTTAGCCCTTTGTATGTGCAACTGGCATATTGAATGAAAGGGTATATGTGCACACTACCACAAATCCAGAGAGCATCTGCTTCTGTTGGTATGATTCTCTCTGTCTCCCCTAATTAATAAGAAAAATACACTCTGTTCACAAAGACAAGTGCTTTGTTCTCTCCAAACAAGTGTTGCTGTATAGCATGTTTCAATCCAACTCACAACAGTAATGGAGAACAAACAATACCTTCTTTGATTGACCCTTCTAGTTCTGCATGAGAAGCTATTATTTCCAATAGCAATCCTTCAACACCTCCAGCATAGACCTTCTAGCAATACACATTTGCTTGATAGGTAGTCTTTGAAATCAATTTGGTTCAAAAATAGCAGCACAAATACCTGTCCCAGAGCACCTAGTCTGACACACAAGTACTGTAGAAGCAAGAGATCTTATTGAAAGATAGGTCCATATCGCTGAGAAGTTGCCATGATGCCAGACAGAGGCCCCACACAAGCGTGCAGGTGGTCAGGCCTCAGGCTGCAGAGAGTGCCAGAGCCTGGCACTTGCCACGGAGGGTAGTGGAGATGACACTTGTGTCAGATGTGACCAGGTGAACGGTCTGCTCAGCCTGGTGGCTGAGCTGAAGGATGAAGTAGAAAGGCTGAGGAGTATCAGGGAGTCGGAGAGAGATAGACTGGTGGAGCCACTTCCTGAGGCGTAAGCAGCAAGCTCCAAAAGAAGCAGAAAATCCCCTCCCCTCTGGCCATCAGGCAAAAGGAGAGGACCTAAAGGATGGGGAGGAGTGGAAGCAGGTGCCTGCCAG